AATTGGCTGATCTCATGTGAGTGACAGGCTATAGCCCCGCCCACCTCATCAGAGGAGAGGAGAGATGCTGCAAGAGGAACTGATTCAACATTATTAACACAATGATGATGTGTTCCCATAAATCGTTTAATATAAACACTGCAATATTTCATCAAACACTCAACAGCGTAGAGCCAATGAAGATGCTGGAGGAATGGAATAGAAATAGAATAGAAGTTTGATTTGTGCTAGTGAGAGTGTGTGTGTGTGTGTGAGTGAGACGTGGTGAGGTATGTAGATTGATTATGATCTGAACGCCTGCAGATCTCAGTTGTTCATGTGAAGGTCAAAGGTCATGCACTCACTGCGCATGCAGACGTTTCAACACCGCTTTATTCAGAAATGCATTTATCGATAACGATTATATTGCATTTTTACTCCATGACATAATTAGTAATCATCATAAATATGCATTATTAGAAAGATCAAATCACTAGAGTGATTTCTGAAGGATCATGTGACACTGAAGACTGGGGTAATGATGATCAATTCAGGAATAAATTACACTTTACTGTATTATTCACATAGTGAACAGATGATTTACACTGGAGGAATATTTGACAAATGTTTCAAAAATATAAGAAACATTTAAAATCTAATAATTAATATTACAGAATACAGATGTTTCGGAGGTTTTATGAGTAACGCAGGTCGTTGATATGGATGCGTTTCTCTCTCCAGTCCTTCGGGAAAGAAGTTCCGGAGTAAACCGCAGTTGTCCCGTTACCTCGGCAACACTGTGGATCTGGGAAGCTTTGATTTTCGCACCGGAAAAATGATGCCGAGCAAAATGCAGAAAAACAAACAGAGACTGAGGAGTGAGAACCTCAGCCTGAGCAAGGTAACACACACACACACACACACACACTCACTCACTGACTGTCAATGACTCACACACACTCACTCACACACTCACTGACTCACTTGCACACTCACTCACTCACTGACTGTCAATGACTCACTCACTCACACACACACTCACTCACACACTCACTCACACACTCACTCACTCACTCACACACTCACTGACTCACTCACATACGCGCACACTCGCACACTCACTCACTCACTGACTGTCAATGACTCACACTCACTCACTCACTCACTCACTCACTCACTCACACACTCACTGACTCACTTGCACACTCACTCACTCACTCACACACACACTCACTGACTCACTTGCACACTCACTCACTCACTCACTGTCAATGACTCACGCACACTCACTCACTCACTGTCAATGACTCACGCACACTCACTCACTCACACACACACTCACTCAAACACACACTCACTCACTCACTCACTCACTCACTGACTGTCAATGACTCACTCACTCACTCACACACTCACTCACTGACTGTCAATGACTCACGCACACTCACTCACTCACTGACTGTCAATGACTCACGCACACTCACTCACTCACACACTCACTCACTTGCACACTCACTCTCTCACATGCTCACTCACTCACTGATACTTGCTTGCACACTCGCTCACTCACTCACTGACTCGCACACTCACTCACTGACTTGCACACTCACTCACTCACTGACTGTCAATGACTCGCGCACACTCACTCACTCACATATGCGCACACGCACTCACTCACTCACTCACACACTCACTCACTCACTCACTCACTGATACTTGCTTGCACACTCACTCACTCACTGACTCACTCACTCACTCACACACTCACTCACTGACTGTCAATGACTCACGCACACTCACTCACTCACACACTCACTCACTTGCACACTCACTCACTCACTGACTCACTCACTCACTGATACTTGCTTGCACACTCACTCACTCACTCACTCACTGACTCGCACACTCACTCACTGACTTGCACACTCACTCACTCACTGACTGTCAATGACTCGCGCACACTCACTCACTCACATATGCGCACACGCACTCACTCACTCACTCACACACTCACTCACTCACTCACTCACTCACTGACTTGCACACTCACACACTCACTCGCACACTCGCCCACATTTTTATCACTTACACACTCACTCACACACACACACACACACACACACACAGAGTAAATACATTGAAAATCAATGGGGTCCAATGTTGATCAGCATCTTCTTGTGGTCATGAGTAAATAAACCTGTGTGACTATAGCAACCGGGATTATCAGTAATGGATAATATATGTTATATTATATTTACATCTACATTATATATCCTATTGTTATATATTTATTGTCTTCCTGTGTACCGTTCTGTTTCATAAGTGATTTTGTGTGTGTGTGTCCGCAGGGAAAGCCGGATCTGAACACGGCGCTGCCCATCAGACAAACGGCCTCCATCTTTAAACAGCCGGTCACTAAAGTCGTCAATCATCCGAACAACAAGGTGAAGACTGACCCCCAGCGAGGCGTAGAGCAACCACGACAGGTCAGATCATCACACACACACACACACACACACACACACACGACACTCATATAATGTGGCTCATGCTTATCAGTGTTTAATATTGAGCACTAGAGGGCGCTGAAGCTGCAACAGTTTCTCACTGGAACTCAGACACACACACACACACACTCTCTCTCTCTGCCATGATGTATCATGTGTAACAATTTCAGTAATTGTAAAAATCTTGTTTTATTTTTATTTAGAAGAATATTATTTTTTTATACATTAAAAACAATCCAGATAATAACAAGAATTTGAAAGGAAAACGTGTCTAATTCTCATGAAAATAATCTCTCAATCTTAATGGCTCTGAGAAAAGTTTGATTATCTTTTATGTAAAGCATAATTTCTGTCTTTTGATGATGATAATGAGCGGTTCGCTGAGATCCCTCACTATTGTCTTGTCTATTTAATAGTAATCCGGTCAAAAACCCATTCTAGTGTTTAATGATGTTCGACTGATCTTCAGGAATATTGCTCTGCAGAAGGTCGGGTTCGTGGAATAAGTAAAGATAGAGATTAGATATTAAAGATGTCAGAAGGGAGAATCTTCACGCAGATGCTGAACTTTATTAATGCAATCAACATTAAAAGACAGTCCGTTTTCTAACTACACAAATTACTTTTATTCATCAAGTATGCATTAATTGATCAAAAATGACATTTAAATTGTTACTAAAAAGATTCTATTTCAGATAAATACTATTCTTTTGAACTTTCGATTCATCAACGAATCCTGCATTTTTTTCACAATTTCCATCACTGATATCAATCATAACTGTGTGTTGATCATCAGATCCTCATATTAGAGTGATTTCTGGAGGATCATGGTGGAGTAATGATGATAAATTCACAGGAATAAATGACACTTTACTGTATATTCACATAGAGAACAGCTGATGGAATTATATTTGACATTTGTACAGTATTTTGATGGTATAAATGCAGAAGAGGCTCTCCGAAACACTGAGCTCATTAGTTCGATTCCCGGGGAAGGAACAGATAAACCTCTTCAGTGAAGCCTGAATGTAGGTCTAACTGATGCTGTAGTTCTGGGTCGTGTGTGTGTGTGTGTGTGTGTGTGTGTGTTATAGTCGCCGCGGGTGGATTTACTCGACGAGCCCCGTGACGCTCATGGAGGAGCTTTATTTAAGTCTGCAGTTTAATAAATCACACTATGAACTGTTTCTGCTGTTTACAGCTCCCGCTGGACCAACAACAACAACTGATGTCTGTGGAGCAGAACACACACACACTCACTCACACTCTCTCACACACACACACACACGTCTGTGAAGTGATGTCAGTGTTGATACACTGACGTTTTACATCCATAACGTCTCACACATGATAAGGACTGGAAAGCGCTTCGTTGTTGATTAAAAAAATTAAATGAAAATATACGAAACCATTAACATTCACTTTGTTTAATCTGGCCTTCATTCTCTCTGCTGGTGTGTGTGTGTGTGTGTGTGTGCGCAGCTGTTCTGGGAGAAGCGCTTGAAGGGCCTGAGGTCGTCGGACGTGTCGGAGGAAGTTCTCAGGACGATGGATCTGCCCAAAGGCTTACAGAGTAAGATGTGTGTTTAAGTCCTGTTACAGCGGCTATTGTGTGTGTGTGTGTGTGTGTGTGTAACGGCTTCTGTGTGTGTGTGTGTAACAGGTATCGGGCCGGACTCGTCGGACGAGACGCTGCTGTCCGCTATAGCGAGCGCTCTACACATGAGCTCAGCGCCCATCACGGGTCAGACCTCCAGCGCCGCCGAGAAGAACCCCGCTATATGGCTCAACACATCCCAGCCGCTCTGCAAAGCCTTCACCGTCACTGATGAAGACATCCGGTGAGTGAGAGAGCGAGCGAGTCAGTGAGTGAGTGAGTCAGTGAGTGAGTGAGTCAGTGAGTGAGTGAGTCAGTCAGTGAGTGAGTGAGTCAGTGAGTGAGTGAGTCAGTGAGTGAGTGAGTCAGTGAGTGAGTGAGTGAGTCAGTGAGTGAGTGAGTCAGTGAGTGAGAGAGCGAGTGAGTCAGTGAGTGAGTGAGTCAGTGAGTGAGTGAGTCAGTGAGTGAGTGAGTCAGTGAGTGAGTGAGTCAGTGAGTGAGTCAGTGAGTGAGTGAGTCAGTGAGTGAGTGAGTGAGTCAGTGAGTGAGTCAGTGAGTGAGTGAGTCAGTGAGTGAGTGAGTCAGTGAGTGAGTGAGTCAGTGAGTGAGTGAGTCAGTGAGTGAGTGAGTCTGTGTGTGAGTGAGTCAGTGAGTGAGTGAGTCAGTGAGTGAGTGAGTGAGTCAGTGAGTGAGTGAGTCAGTGAGTGAGTCAGTGAGTGAGTCAGTGAGTGAGTGAGTCAGTGGGCCAATCCCAATTCTACCCCTTACCCCTTTCCTTTCCCCTAGCCCTACCCCTTCGCCTTCCCCTTGACCCTTCAAACAGAGTGGCAATGCGTAGGGGTGAAAATATTCCCCTAAGAAATGGGACACCACTACGCCTCCGTTAAACGTCATTATAAGTCGTCGCAAGCGCCTACGTCACAGGATATGCGCCGATGTTTATCACAACTTCCAAGATCCCGTCGACAGCTGCAGTTATCTCAGTCGCGTGGGTTACAGCTATTTTCTTGCATCTTGTGAAGTTCGCAGGAAACAACGGAGACGACGAAAATATGTTGCGGGACTATCGTTAGCAAACTACAGTAATTTTAGCGATTTTTTTTACAAACGTTTCTGTGAAGAAACTGACCGTAAATATGAACACAATATTGAATGTAACATAAAGCAAATCATTATTTGTCGTTATAATACTTATTAAAGCCACAAATACTTAAATTTATGGGTCTCCTTTGTCGCTTGGGCAGCCAGGCTGGGTTAGCAGTGACACTTCTCATACCCCTTCGTTTGAAGTGTGCTCCCGAAAAATCTTCGTTTGAAGGGCTATCTGGCCCTTCACCCTAGCCCTCCCCCTCCAACCAAAAGAGAATTGGGACAGCCCTACCCCTTCACGTGGACGCGCAAAACGGAGGGGAAGGGGAAAGTGAAGGGGTAAGGGGTAGAATTGGGATTGGCCCAGTGAGTGAGTGAGTCAGTGAGTGAGTGAGTCAGTGAGTGAGTGAGTCAGTGAGTGAGTGAGTCAGTGAGTGAGTGAGTGAGTGAGTGAGTCAGTGAGTGAGTGAGTCAGTGAGTCAGTGAGTGAGTGAGTCAGTGAGTGAGTGAGTCTGTGTGTGAGTGAGTCAGTGTGTGAGTGAGTCAGTGAGTGAGTGAGTCAGTGAGTGAGTGAGTCAGTGAGTGAGTGAGTCTGTGTGTGAGTGAGTCAGTGAGTGAGTGAGTCAGTGAGTGAGTGAGTCTGTGTGTGAGTGAGTCAGTGAGTGAGTGAGTCAGTGAGTGAGAGAGCGAGCGAGTCAGTGAGTGAGTGAGTCAGTGAGTGAGAGAGCGAGCGAGTCAGTGAGTGAGTGAGTCAGTGAGTGAGTAAGTCAGTGAGTGAGTGAGTGAGTGAGTGAGTCAGTGAGTGAGTGAGTCAGTGAGTGAGTGAGTCAGTGAGTGAGTGAGTCAGTGAGTGAGTGAGTGAGTGAGTCAGTGAGTGAGTGAGTGAGTGAGTGAGTCAGTGAGTGAGTGAGTCAGTGAGTGAGTGAGTGAGTGAGTGAGTCAGTGAGTGAGTGAGTGAGTGAGTGAGTGAGTGAGTCAGTGAGTGAGTCAGTGAGTGAGTGAGTCAGTGAGTGAGTGAGTCAGTGAGTGAGTCAGTGAGTGAGTGAGTCAGTGAGTGAGTGAGTCAGTGAGTGAGTGAGTCAGTGAGTGAGTGAGTCAGTGAGTGAGTGAGTGAGTCAGTGAGTGAGTGAGTCAGTGAGTGAGTCAGTCAGTGAGTGAGTCAGTGAGTGAGTGAGTCAGTGAGTGAGTGAGTCAGTGAGTGAGTGAGTCAGTGAGTGAGTCAGTGAGTGAGTGAGTCAGTGAGTGAGTGAGTCTGTGTGTGAGTGAGTCAGTGAGTGAGTGAGTCAGTGAGTGAGTGAGTGAGTCAGTGAGTGAGTGAGTCAGTGAGTGAGTCAGTGAGTGAGTGAGTCAGTGAGTGAGTGAGTCAGTGAGTGAGTGAGTCAGTGAGTGAGTGAGTCAGTGAGTGAGTGAGTGAGTCAGTGAGTGAGTGAGTCAGTGAGTGAGTGAGTCAGTGAGTGAGTGAGTCTGTGTGTGAGTGAGTCAGTGAGTGAGTGAGTCAGTGAGTGAGTGAGTCAGTGAGTGAGTGAGTCAGTGAGTGAGTGAGTCTGTGTGTGAGTGAGTCAGTGAGTGAGTGAGTCTGTGTGTGAGTGAGTCAGTGAGTGAGTGAGTCAGTGAGTGAGAGAGCGAGCGAGTCAGTGAGTGAGTGAGTCAGTGAGTGAGTAAGTCAGTGAGTGAGTGAGTGAGTCAGTGAGTGAGTGAGTCAGTGAGTGAGTGAGTCAGTGAGTGAGTGAGTCAGTGAGTCAGTGAGTGAGTGAGTGAGTGAGTCAGTGAGTGAGTGAGTGAGTGAGTGAGTCAGTGAGTGAGTGAGTGAGTGAGTCAGTGAGTGAGTGAGTCAGTGAGTGAGTGAGTCAGTGAGTGAGTGAGTCAGTGAGTGAGTGTGTGTTTCAGACTGTATCTGTGAAAGTCCACATTACTGTACATGAAACAACAAATGAGTCTGGGAGAATTTTACTCGAGGCCTTTATATATAATGCATTATAAAAGTATTTTAAAGCATTGACTTTGCTTTGTAGTCCACCTTATATTGCATTGTAGGATCTTATGAATAATTGTAGCCACAGTTATCATACATTGTAATAATTACACAGACAGCCCTGCATCTTATCAACAATAAAATAACAAATCTCAACAACAATGTATCTGCTTCAGTGCACCTATCAAAACAACATCAACAATAGTCAAATGTTGTCTAAAGTTTTGTATTTATTAATGAAGAAAAAGTATAATTCTCTTTTATAATCGGCAAGAAAATGTTCAAATACTCAATTTAAACAGTCATTTAAAAAGTTGATTTTTTTTTTTTTATCAGAATCTGTAATTTTCTGTCGCTGGTTGGATGTAGTAAAACATCTGGTTCATGTTTGTGTTTTCTTCCTTCACTGGGCCAGGCTAACCCGCAACCCATAGAAATGTAGAGGGAAAAGTTGAGAAATTTGGCACACTGATAGAGGACAATCCCTACATTAAAGGGTTAGTTCACCCAAAAATGAAAATTAAGTCATTAATTACTCACCCCCATGCTGTACCAACCCCGTAAGACCTTCGTTCGTCTTCGGAACACAAATGAAGATATTTTTGATTAAATTTGAGAGCTGTATAACTACCACATTGGCTCCTAAAGGACTGCCTCTTGACGGCCCAGAAAGTCAATGAAGAAAATGTTTAAATATCCCAAGTGACTACCGTGGCTCAACTATATGTTTATCAAGCGACGCGAATACTTTTTGTGCGAAAAAACAAACAAAAATAACGAGTTTATTCGACTATTTTTTTCTTCCTTGTAGGCCAGAACGAGACTTCCTTAGATTTCCACGACGCATGCGCGAGATTTGCGATCTGCGTACACAGCTTACACTACTTCAGATCGCAATTCTCGCGCATGCGTCGTGGAAATCTATAAGGAAGTCTCGTTCTGGCCTACAAGGAAGAAACAAATAGTCGAATAAACTCGTTATTTTTGTTTGTTTTTTCGCACAAAAAGTATTCGCGTCGCTTGGTAAACATATAGTTGAGCCACGGTAGTCACTTGGGATATTTAAACATTTTCTTCATTGACTTTTTGGGCCGTCAAGAGGCAGTCCCTTAGGAGCCAATGTGGTAGTTATACAGATCTCAAATTTAATCAAAAATATCTTCATTTGTGTTCCGAAGACGAACGAAGGTCTTACGGGGTTGGTACAGCATGGGGGTGAGTAATTAATGACTTAATTTTCATTTTTGGGTGAACTAACCCTTTAACTACAGCAATTTTGGAGTCTCTAACTCTAACCCTCTAGCGCCACCACATGTCCAAAATTACATCTAATGCTAATAGCATTTGAACCAGAGCTAGAGACTAAATTATTTTTTCATCTGATTCCTTGGCTCAAGACGATTCAATTGTTCCATCATTTGACATCGTTACCATGCTGGAAAAAAGTTATTAAAATATTTTTGGTTTACTCAACCATTCTCAAATAATGTGCAAATTCGGTGAAGAGCACGCCAAATTGGATGCAAGGCTGTATCTCTGCAACGCTTTACTGTATTGAGGCGAAATTTGGTGCATGTCATCACATCTCAATGGAAAGATATAATGCATTACATAGTACATTATGAATACATTCATAATGCATTAGACAATGGCATGTTTTCTGATGCATGTGATTTAGTCATGCAGCATTTTCACTCTCTGTTTGGACATAAACCTGCTTGTTCAAGACATGTTTACTGATAGGTTTGTTGTGAAATCGGCCGGCTTGTTAATATTCCTGTGTAATTGCAAAGTGATGTGATGTGAAGTTTGAAAGTATTATGTATTCATCGAGTTCCCCCTCTGTCGAGGCGTGTCGCTTAGCGTTGGGAATCAGGCGTCGCAGTTCAAGCCGAGCTGAAACTATCCGCGAGATTCATTTCACTCCGAGGCTCCGAGGGCAAATTGGATGCTTGCTGTATGAAAAACACAAGAGAAATAAGACTTTCCTGCTGTAGTTGTTTTCTGTCTGGTGTTCCTGCAGCATACAGATGCGACGTCTCGTCCTCCACATACACTAATAGTGGGACTGGCAAATTTGTGATATGAAAACAAATGTTGTGGTGTGATTATAGTTGTTAAAACTGTAAAAAAGTGATTAAACCGCTGATCTACACTGTTACTACTTAACCAATGAGCTAACTAACCAGCCAACTAACTAACTAACTAACCAACCAACTAATTAACTAACTAACTAACTAACCAACTAACTAACCAACTAGTCAACTAACTAACCAACCAGTCAACTAACTAACCAACCAATCAACTAACCAACCAACCAAACAAACTAGTCAACCAACTAGCCAACTAACCAAATAACCAACCAACCAATCAACTAACTAACCAACCAATCAACTAACTAACTAATCAACTAACTAACTTACCAACCAAATAACCAACCAATCAACTGATCAACCAACTAACCAACTACAACTAACTAACTAACTAACCAACCAAACAAACAAACAACTAACCAACCAATCAACCAACTAACCTACCAACCAACTAATCAACTAACCACCTAACTAAGCAACCAACCAACTAACCAATTAATCAACTAACCAACCAACAACCAAATAACTAACCTGCTAATCAACTAAATAATTAACCAACCAACTAAACAACTAAATAATTAACTAATCAACTAAATAATTAACCAACTAACTAAACAAATAAATAATTAACTAATCAACTAAATAATTAACCAACTAACTAAACAAATAAGTAATTAACTAATCAACTAAATCATTAACCATCCAACTAACTAAATAATTAACCATCCAACTAACCAAAAAACAAATAAAAAAAACAAACAATTAAATAAAACACAAACAAATAAATAAAAAAAACAAACAAAAACAAATCAATTAAATAATAAAAACAAAGAAATCATTAAATTGACATATATATTTAAATACATAACTAAACATACAAACAAACAAAAAAAACTAATAAAAACAAACAAATAAAAACACAAAAAAAATGAAATAAAAAAACATTCAAATCATTAAATTGACAAATATTTAAATGCATAAGTAAATGTCTCCATATATGATGTAGTGATGAAAAATTAAGATAATTGATTTAAAAAAGAAACTGAACTTGAGGCTTAGATATTTTTTATGAATTTTATGTCTTATGTATGTTCTGAACATCATTAGCACAGACGAGTGTCTGGTTTAAGAGTGTGGAACTCATTCAGACGATGATGGTAAATTAATGTTGTTTCCATTTGTTCGGCTCTCCTGACGGATAAACCTTGTGTTGGTATATTGTTCTGGTGTCAGTGGATTCAGTCGTTCTCACACACAGATATGTTTCCTACACTGAGATATATCCAGTCCTGAGCACTAGAGGGCAGTAGACGCACGCGTGACTCTGGAGTTAATGACCCGAGACTGAGAGATTAAACCCCAGATGAGCAGCGGTCCTGTCGAGTGGACCCGACCTCACTGATACACACGCTCCGCTCGTCACGTATAGTCATTTATTCCTGTCGTCAAATGAAGATGTGTGTGTGTCCGTTCTGGCGTTCAGAGGGAATGCAGGAATGTCAGAGTTCATAATCCGATCATTATAATTCAGGACGAGCAGCAAACGCTCCTTCCTGTGTGTCTCGCAGTGGCTCTGATGGGGATGCTGTGTGTGTGTGTGTGTGTGTGTTGTTACTGTAAAGCATCTGATGACGGTCACAGGCTGATTCCAGAACAGAGAAACATATTACACTTATATTTTCTATGAATGCCACATATTAATGCAAGATATTTTCATTTCCCTCCGTCTCTGAGCTTCATATTTAAAGGCATAATTCAGCCAAAAATGATAATTCGGGCATCCTTTCTTCTGCGGGAATATGGGCAATAATGTCAGGGTTATTATTGTTAACTAAAACTGTCGGAAAGATTTTAATTTAAATAAAGATGAAATTAAAGGGACACTCCACCCATTTGCATTAAGCTTTCCATTGTTATAAACTCGAGCAGTCGAATGGTCGATCAACACTGTCGTTTTCCCCGAGACGAGAGAAATCTGCTATTTACCTTTTTCACTTCCTCCTACAATGACGCAAAAACCGCCATTTTAACGCCATTGAGACTCACTAGTAGCCTAGACTTGTTGTTTAACTACTGCGCGCGGTTACCAGTAGGCGTGGCCTCCCAAGTGCATTCTGGGAGTTGTTGTGTTTCATCCACATAAGCCAAAAGTACTTTTTCTGGCATTTAGAAAGTCTAGAAATAATTTCACATTTCTTCTACATAAATGACACATTTTATATACGAAGAGTTCAGATGCAAAAGCCTCTAAGTGCCATTTGAAATTTTCTTCTAGAATGATGATTTTTATCAAGCTTGTATATTTAAGTTCAGTAATTTCACTTGAATGACAATTAATAGGTATTTCATTGCCATTTAAGTGAAATTACTGAACTTAAATATACAAGCTTGATAAAAATGATCATTCTAGAAGAAAATTTCAAATGGCACTTAGAGGCTTTTGCATCTGAACTCTTCATACACAATCGTCTTTCCAGAGGAGAAGTGTCCCTTTAAATCATTTAGTCTTGGGAAAAACACTCAAATAAATAAAACACACTAAAAATTAAATAAAAACTGAAATAAAATAAATAGTATAAAAGGACAAATGCACAACACAAAGTTGCTAAAATTACACTGGAAACGGAAAATGTGAAAATACATGCTAATTCAAAACATTTAAAAAATACATTAATATATAATTAAAACTAAAATAATTTGAGACATTTGTTTAAATATCGTTTGTGTTTCACCGAAGTCATTTGGGTTTGTAACGACCGGAATAATGATAGGCTGATTTCACACAGTACCTCTGAGACGTGTGTGTGTGTGTAACAGTTTAGCTCACACTGTTGCGCTGCTGAAACACAGCAGGTGTTAATGTGTGAATGTGTTCACGGCTCTGGGTTTGCATCTCGATCTCCTGAAGTGAAGCCAGCGGCAGCTGATCTGGGAACAGAAGCCATGACGAATGTGTGGCGATTTTCATTTTTAATTGGGAACCATTTAGGCACTGGTGTTTTTCTCTTGTTTGCACTGCATGTCAAACTGCATTCTGGGATTGGGTTCTGTGTGAAGGAAACATGCGATTCCGGCGCATGTCAACACTGGACGTCGAACTCCGACTCCTCGATCCGCAGAAGAGCAGCGCAAACCCTCTTCCTGTGCGGACGGACAGCCGGAGGGAATTATGGGTAGAGATGATAGGCGAGTTGGAGAACATCAACAACACTGGACCCTGTGAGGGTTATTATCATCAACTAAAACTATTGAAAACATTTACATTTTTTAATGAACCTTAAATAAATTATAATAATAGATATTAAAAATATATATATTTCGTTAGTCACTTTAAAATTTCTATAAGTAACCATAATAGTCTACTAATACACTAAAGTGGACCATCGAAATATAGCTTTATCCTAAAAATAAATAAATAAGTAAAACTGAAAAAAAAAGACAAAATTGTAAAAATGAGACAACAAAGATTATTAAATATTAAATGAAAAATGTAAATGTTGTCTGAGTTGGCTGAAATAAGTTGGTTCAAACAATACAATTACGAAATAAAATGAAAATAATATAAATTAAACCGAATTTGTAAAAACAACAACTAATAAAAACATAGTAAAATTACTAAACATTAAACTAAAACGTTGCTTTGGAAAACTTACTGAAATGAATAAAAACTAAAACTGAAATTTTTTTTGTAAATGTAATAATGATTGCAGAAACATTAAAGTTAAATGGATTATATTCCATTTTAGGTACATTTTTCAGTCATTTTATTATATGCTTTTGTATGGAAACCTATTTCCGCCACAGGATGTGTATCAGACATCGCCACCTTGAGGAATAAGTTTGAGTCATCAGAGATTCAATTAGGATAAATATTAGGCATGCACGATATATCTGCCATCATATCGGTATCGGCAGATATCGGTTCATTTTTAACGTTATCGGCCCGATAAGGATTTTTCTGATATATTAGAGCCGATCAATAATGTATTATTTCCTTCAGATGCGCACTGTTCAACATGATGATTATGAATTGCTTGAAATATGATTGAAATCCCTTCAAAAAAGGCAAATACAGTTCAGTGCAACATGTGCAGCGCAAGCCTGTCATATCGGCCACATAACATTATCATGAGAACATCAGAACTGTGTGTTTGAGAGACTTTTGTTTTGTAATCAGACTCTCAAAAATTACATAAAGGTTTAGATTTATCGGCCGATATATCGGTTATCGGCTTTCAAATATAAAGAATTATTGGTTATTATCGGTAATGGCCAAAATTTTCTTATCGGTGCATCCCTACTAAATATACTTGCATTATTATATTTACATTATTACATTCGCTAGTTAACTAGAAAACAGACATTATTTTATTATTTTACTCTCGTTATATTGTTTCTAGTGAATGGATTGAGGGATGCTGAGACGGTTGAAGGGGGAGGGTGGTGAACGGTGTGTGTTTGTGGTTGAGGGTCAGAGGTCATGAGAGATTGATTGACAGGCCTGGGGGGGGGGGTGAGACGCAGATAAAGTGAGGTCAGTGTTTTGTGTTTGACTTCATCCCTCTCATTCTGTCTCCTCAGGGAGCAGGAGCTGAAGGTCCATCAGTGTGTGTGTGTGTGTTTGACTCTCTGTCTCTCTCTCTCTCCTCAGGGAGCAGGAGCTGAAGGTCCATCAGGCCCGGCTCAGTCTGGAAGAAGCTCTGATGGCCGACACTTTGGCCCGGGCCGCCGAGTCCAGTCGAGACCCCCAGGGCCGAGCGCCGTAGAGAACCGACAGGTGAGCAACTGAGCGAGTTTAAAGGGATAGTTCACCCAAAAATGAAAATTATTCCATAATTTGTAGGATCCATAAATCTAGTAGGGTTGGGTAGTAGGGTTTTCCGGAACCGGTGGTGTTTTTGAAAAAAAACCGGAACCGTGCAAAATTCCTAAGTTTCGGTTCCTAAAACGGTTCTGGTGTGATATGAGGGCGAAGTCATAGGAGTAGATTATCCTTTAGCGTCTCACCTCAAGCGCAGACAGAGAGAGAGAGAGTAGAGCTGCACGATTAATCTTTAAAAGATTTCAATTCAAACACCTACGCCGTCTTATTTTACGGACGTAAAGACGCTAACTGAGATTCTTTCGGACACACGTCAGCAGGGTTCATGCATAGAGGCTATTGAATGGGAACCGGAACTGTAAAATTTCTCACAATTCCCAACCCTACCCTCCAGTCATCCTACTGTATATGACACAGCATATCAGACGAATACAATCTGAGGTATTTAAAAAAAAAAAAGGTAAACGGACTGCATTTATATGGCGCTTTCATAGACCCAATGGTCACCAAAGAGCTTTACATTTGCCTCACATTCACCCATTCACACACTCATTCATACATCGACATCTGTCCATCATAAAAGTGCATCTATCCATCATAAAAGTGCATCTATCCATCATAAAAGTGCATCTGTCCATCATAAAAGTGCATCTATCCATCATAAAAGTGCATCTATCCATCATAAAAGTGCATCTGTCCATCATAAAAGCGCATCTATCCATCATAAAAGTGCATCTGTCCATCATAAAAGTGCATCTATCCATCATAAAAGTGCATCTGTCCATCATAAAAGTGCATCTGCCCATCATAAAAGTGCATCTGTCCATCATAAAAGTGCATCCGTCCATCATAAAAGTGCATCTGCCCATCATAAAAGTGCATCTGCCCATCATAAAAGTGCATCTGTCCATCATAAAAGTGCATCTGCCCATCATAAAAGTGCATCTGTCCATCATAAAAGTGCATCTGTCCATCATAAAAGTGCATCCGTCCATCATAAAAGTGCATCTGCCCATCATAAAAGTGCATCTGCCCATCATAAAAGTGCATCTGTCCATCATAAAAGTGCATCTGTCCATCATAAAAGTGCATCCGTCCATCATAAAAGTGCATCTGTCCATCATAAAAGTGCATCTGTCCATCATAAAAGTGCATCCGTCCATCATAAAAGTGCATCTGTCCATCATAAAAGTGCATCTGCCCATCATAAAAGTGCATCTGTCCATCATAAAAGTGCATCTGTCCATCATAAAAGTGCATCCGTCCATCATAAAAGTGCATCTGTCCATCATAAAAGTGCATCTGTCCATCATAAAAGTACATCCGTCCATCATAAAAGTGCATCTGTCCATCATAAAAGTGCATCTGTCCATCATAAAAGTGCATCTGCCCATCATAAAAGTGCATCTGTCCATCATAAAAGTGCATCTGTTCATCATAATAGTGCATCTATCCATCATAAAAGTGCATCTGTCCATCATAAAAGTGCATCTGCCCATCATAAAAGTGCATCTATCCATCATAAAAGCGCATCTGTCCATCATAAAAGTGCATCCGTCCATCATAAAAGTGCATCTGTCCATCATAAAAGTGCATCTGTCCATCATAAAAGTGCATCTATCCATCATAAAAGTGCATCTGTCCATCATAAAAGTGCATCTGTCCATCATAAAAGTGCATCTATCCATCATAAAAGTGCATCCATCCATCATAAAAGTGCATCCATCCATCATAAAAGTGCATCTATCCATCATAAAAGTGCATCTGTCCATCATAAAAGTGCATCTGTCCATCATAAAAGTGCATCTGTCCATCATAAAAGTGCATCTGTCCATCATAAAAGTGCATCTGTCCATCATAAAAGTGCATCTGTTCATCATAATAGTGCATCTATCCATCATAAAAGTGCATCTGTCCATCATAAAAGTGCATCTGCCCATCATAAAAGTGCATCTATCCATCATAAAAGCGCATCTGTCCATCATAAAAGTGCATCCGTCCATCATAAAAGTGCATCTGTCCATCATAAAAGTGCATCTGTCCATCATAAAAGTGCATCTATCCATCATAAAAGTGCATCTGTCCATCATAAAAGTGCATCTGTCCATCATAAAAGTGCATCTATCCATCATAAAAGTGCATCCATCCATCATAAAAGTGCATCCATCCATCATAAAAGTGCATCTATCCATCATAAAAGTGCATCTGTCCATCATAAAAGTGCATCTGTCCATCATAAAAGTGCATCTGTCCATCATAAAAGTGCATCTGTCCATCATAAAAGTGCATCCGTCCATCATAAAAGTGCATCTGTCCATCATAAAAGTGCATCTGCCCATCATAAAAGTGCATCTGTCCATCATAAAAGTGCATCTGTCCATCATAAAAGTGCATCCGTCCATCATAAAAGTGCATCTGTCCATCATAAAAGTGCATCTGTCCATCATAAAAGTGCATCCGTCCATCATAAAAGTGCATCTGTCCATCATAAAAGTGCATCTGTCCATCATAAAAGTGCATCTTTTCCACCATAAAAGCGCATCTGCCCATCATTAAAGTGCATCTGTCCATCATAAAAGTGCATCTGTCCATCATAAAAGTGCATCTGTTCATCATAATAGTGCATCTGTCCATCATAAAAGTGCATCTGTCCATCATAAAAGTGCATCTGTCCATCATAAAAGTGCATCTGCCATCATAAAAGTGCATCTATCCATCATAAAAGTGCATCTGTCCATCATAAAAGTGCATCTGTCCATCATAAAAGTGCATCCATCCATCATAAAAGTGCATCTGCCCATCATAAAAGTGCATCTGTCCATCATAAAAGTGCATCTGTCCATCATAAAAGTGCATCTGTTCATCATAATAGTGCATCTGTCCATCATAAAAGTGCATCTGTCCATCATAAAAGTGCATCCATCCATCATAAAAGTGCATCTGCCCATCATAAAAGCGCATCTGCCCATCATAAAAGTGCATCTGTCCATCATAAAAGTGCATCTGTCCATCATAAAAGTGCATCTGTCCATCATAAAAGTGCATCCGTCCATCATAAAAGTGCATCTGTCCATCATAAAAGTGCATCTGTCCATCATAAAAGTGCATCTATCCATCATAAAAGTGCATCTGCCCATCATAAAAGTGCATCTGTCCATCATAAAAGTGCATCTGTCCATCATAAAAGTGCATCTGTCCATCATAAAAGTGCATCTGTCCATCATAAAAGTGCATCTGTCCATCATAAAAGTGCATCTGTCCATCATAAAAGCGCATCTGTCCATCATAAAAGTGCATCTGTCCATCATAAAAGTGCATCTGTCCATCATAAAAGTGCATCTGTCCATCATAAAAGTGCATCTGTCCATCATAAAAGTGCATCTGTCCATCATAAAAGTGCATCTGTCCATCATAAAAGTGCATCCGTCCATCATAAAAGTGCATCCGTCCATCATAAAAGTGCATCTGTCCATCATAAAAGTGCATCTGTCCATCATAAAAGCGCATCTGTCCATCATAAAAGTGATGACGTTTAGGGTTGTGTTGAATGAAGTGAGCTGGGCGCAGTGAACACTACATAGGGACCCTGCCCAGCGATGTGGGTTTAGAGCCTTTTTACAGTTTTGTGGAATTTAATATTTCATCACGAGCATCAGTGCAGCACACGCATGTTAATGACACACACACACACACACACACACACACGAGCACAGGGGAGAGTTGGTACTGATGGAAACGTGCAGAAGTGTGTCTCGCTGTCATGAAATATTCACGGGCTCATTAAGACGCGTGTGTGAAGAGTCTCATCACTCCATCCTCGTCCTCCTCACTCCCTCTTCATCATCCCGCACTCGTTCTTCCTTAAAGGGAATTAATAGTTAATATTCCTCCGTTCTCCGGCTGTCAGCGCTCCTCAGTTCACCCGAATCAGCTGAGGATCTGTCAGGCTCTTCTGAACGCTGACGTGTGTGTGTGTGTGTGTGTGTGTGTGTGTCCCCTGAAGAACTCTCTCGACTGCTTGATTCAGATTTATGACGGATCAGAGGACGCTTCTGTTCTCTCGTAGAGCGCCGTATACGAACCCTCCTGTCTGCAGGTCACACTCGCTGTCTCTAGGGTCCGTTTGGAGATACTGTATAAAAATATACATTTTTAATAGTGCTGGGCAATGATTAATCACACCCCTGTGTGTGTGTGTACTGTGTGTATATATTAAGAAAAAATAGTTATTTGTAAAATATTTCTATTTATAAATAATATAAATATATGTACTGTGTATTAGGGGTGGCACGGTTAACGAAACCGACGGTTCGGTTTGTATCACGGTTTTAGGGTCACGGTTTTCGTTTCTGTACAGTTCTTGTTATTTTTTTTTTTCTTTTAATCTTTAAAGGGACTCTGTGTAGATTTTTAGGTATTTTCTTATCTGAAATCAATATTTTTATTCATAAATATGTCCTCAATGGTGTACAAATACCTCTGCAAATTATCTGACTTATCCTCGTAAATGAAGAATTTATTATCTTTATGTACATGGGACGGGTAGGTTCACGGAGGCTTCCATGTCCGTTCCGCCATCTTGAAAACTATAATAGCAGAGAGGGTCAAAAAGTACCACAAGCCAAACGCGTTTCCACAACGCGTTTTCGTTCAGCCATCGTCACGTCACATTGAGAGGCGCGCTCCCTGCAAGTTTAAACGGCTGCATTGCACTCCTATGATTGCTCTTTTGCTCTATTATTTGTAATTGCGGACCATATGCCGAGTCACAGGAGAATGCATCCTCCTCGCAAAAAAAGGCCAGACTTGAACGAAAAAGGAAACGTGACCGGAGATTGCAAAAAACAAGACCATTCATTTTTCCGTCATAAAATTAATCGGATATGGTTCGATTTTCTGCGTTTTTCGCATCCAGAGCCAGCATTTTGAGAGGTCTTTTGACAATTCAGGGCCGG